TTTTTTTTTAAGAGTGAGAGAGAGGAGGGTGAAGAGTGTAAGAAATGAGAAGAAACAGAAACTACCCTGTGTTCTTATACCTACACAATTGATCCAAGACATAACTGGAAAGCACTGATTGTGGAGAAATCTGTGCAATTTTGTTTCCAGGTGTGACTTGTGGAAAAGGAATGATTTACAAATTATTAAGAACATTATTTCAACTTTCAAGCAATTTCTGGCAACTGCAGTGGAGGAAAAAATGTATCTAGGGCTTCCAGGCTCCATGTCTAGATCTGGATTTCAATTCCCAGCACCGGTCTTCCATTTCCCAAAATGAGACACTGCAAATTATAGAAAAAATCAGGGCACAAGTGTTCAGAAACAGCCAAAGCAAGCCTTTATTATGAATTCAGAACTCATTTAGGACACATTTAGCTAGTCCAATGCATCCGCTTCAGACTTTCTGGACATCATCTAACAAGTTCCACACTAACAAGATCTCATGATCCAAATCTTGAAACATCACTGAGGCAATGAGCTCTGTGTTTGAGGTCTCCTATTTGGCCTCTTAAGACACATAGAGGAAAAATGCTAACTTCCATACCTTATCCAAGCATCACTTGTTGAACAATTTTGGGTAATGCAGGTTTTCCATTARAGTGTATTAGATCTGAGGAGCAGTATTAAGTATCATAACAGCATTTGAGGACAATTAAAATCAACTTAGAATAAAACTGGAATTACAGCTGTGAATTGTTATTAATAAATTCATGTAAGTAGAACAAAGTCAAAATAGGTTTGTGAGTTAACGRGAGGGAAGTAATTTGAAACTACTAGTCCCCTTTTTCCTGCCACAACCTTGCAAGATAAAACAAACAAGACAGCAAAGAGCCTGCAGAGATTAAATGCAATCTCCATCAAAGTGCTGACTTTACATTTCAGTTCCTTGTGGTGGATTTCATCTTGGAAACAGAGAGCTAATTTTTAAAGAACAAAGTCATCAAGAACAACAGGACACTGTCACAAAAGATGAAATGAGCAAGGAAATGTGAATTTTGATTTGATTGAGTTTTGATTTCTAAAGGGCTGAAACAATCAATCCAGAATAAAACCATATTCTCCTGTGGTGGTAGGAGGTCAGAAATTGGGCAGGGGGAAAGGCATGAAATACCAAGTATTGGCTTCCAGAGTGAAAAAAAAAAGGTAAGGAGGCAAGATTGTCTTTCAAAAATATGAGCAACAGCAACAATAGATATGAAACATCACCTATTAGGACAGCTCATTTTCATGTAAACAAAAGGATTGATACACAGAGAAAGAAGAAGGAAGAGGAAAGAGCAGTGCTTCCAAATGTAATGAAAAATGGAATGCATTTCCAAGAAATTGCTGCTATTTAAGTAATTAAGTAGTTTCCTTCCCATGAATTTATGATCTTTTATTCCAAAGTAGATACTATTTTCAAAGCTTTTGATGATCTGCTTATTAATCACAACAGACTAGTGGAGAAGACAATCTCATTTCCCTTTAGTACAAAGGGATATGATAAAAGTCCTGCACTTTCACTGTTTTTCAGGTCTGCTATAGGAAATAGTCCCCTACATTCTTGTAAGTATCAGAGAAAGGAGTCTTAAGCTTTACAATTTACACATCATTATCTAGGTTAAAAAAGAAATCATGTGGTATTTCTTAATAATTAAAAAGATTAATCAGAAAACAAAAAGAAAATAATAATCAGAGCTGAGCAACTGAGTCTAATGAAGGAATGAAATGAGCAACAAGTGTGGCAGCTCTTGGAACTGTTCCCACACATCATGCTTGTATGCCAATCCTCTAGCCAATCCTCTATTAGAAAAATATCAGAATAATTCCAAATCCTCTTTCAACATTATATCTATGAAAGACCTAAAAATTTTGTAGTTCATACAATCAAGTATAACAAACCAGCTCCAAAGCATTATCCTGAGAGAAAAAATAGCAGGAAAACTAATGAAACTTCAAGGAAAAGAGAGGGGGAAAATATTTAATTGAAAATAAAATAAAAATGAGGGATGGAAAACACTGTTCCGAGAGTTCATAAATGATAGGCAGCATGACAAAGGCAAATGAACCATGTAAAGGCAAACCAGAAATATGGTTTTTATTTCTGAGACTAGAATAGATTATAACTATATAGACTATCTAAATTTGAAGAAAAAAATATTTTTCCGCATTATAAATAACTGGCTAACGAGAAAAATTGGGGTTTTTTTTTCTATTTTTGCATGTAACTTTTTTGCAAGTTGTCTTCATCCCATTGGTGGAGAATTAAACCAATGGCTCTAACACACTTCTCAAACCAAAGTCTTGTTTTGCAACATTTCCAGGTTGCTTGCATTAATATTGTAGAGGTGATGAACAAAAGAACAATACATGCTACATGATAAAATACTGATGAGAGCAAATCCCGGAAAGAGGAAAATGCCTTCTATGTTTCTTCACTGTGTCTGAACATACTATGCTTATTAGAAGCTAGCCCTGCTGTGAGCAGAACATTAGGACTGATGTCCTCTAGGGTCATAATTTCTCATTTTCAAACCACATTAATCCATGCACTTTGAGATTGGTTGTATTGTTCAGGGAAGGTGAGGTGAAAACCAAGAAATAAAAAAAAATAAACCGAAAGTTTAAAAATGCATTTGAATGAGAGAAGAACAACTGAAATGTCACTGTCGGCACATAGCTCTGCAAGTCCATAGGATTCTTTTCTATTGTGCCATATCAAAGCCTAAACCAGATTACAGATATGATCTGGGTGTGGGAATGATTAGTGTTTGGGAATATTCCTGGGAAGCAGTAGACACTCCTCTGGACTACAGCTCCATCATACTGGTCTGCATGGGCTACTGTGTGTGTACTTAGTGCACTAGGAATACATGGGCCATGGGCTCAGTTCAGGCACTGACTGCAGTGCAAGCATGTACAAATGCTTAAAAGCACACACATTCCAGCTCCCCTTTTCTAAATGTAAGTCTGGTATGTGCCCATTTGCTGACCTTTGCACATACTTACACATATTGCACACATGCATTTTGTAAAGGATAATAAAAAGTAACTATATTAATGGCAAAAGGAGAGGTGCAAGGAAAACCTCTGTTCTTTATTGGGCATGGTGGGAAATATAGCTACCAAAGGTCATGAAAAAGCGGTGGTACTTAACACCTTCTTTGCCTCAGTTTTCAAAAATAAGAAAGGTCATGTTCAGGACAACTGGCCTCTTGAGCTAGTAGATGGGGACAGGGGGCAGTAATCCAGGAGGAAGCAGTTAGTGACCTGCTGAGCCACTTAGATGCTCACAAGTCCATGGGACCAGATGGGATCCATCTTAGGGTGATGAGGGAGCAGGGGGAAGAGGTTGCAAAGCTACTATCCATCATTTACTATCAGTCCTGGCTAACTGGTGAGGTTCTGGATGACTGGAATCTGGTCTATCCATAAAAATTACCAAAGAGTGGACCTAGGAAACAACAGGCCTGTCAGCCTGACCTTGATGCCCAGCACTGTTATGGAACAAATCATCTGGAGTGTGATCACACAGTGCCTAGGACAGCCTGGGGATAAGACCCAACCAGCGTGAATCAAGGAGGAAAGGGTCCTGGCTGATCTGCCTGATCTCTTTTTATGACCAGGTGACCCACCTGGTGGATGAGGGGAAGGCTGTGGGTGTAGTCCAGACAGACTTGAGCAAAGTCTTTGACACCATCTGCCCTAGAATAAACCTGGAAAAGCTGTCAGCTCATGGTTTGGACGGGTGCACACTTTGCTGGGTTAAGGACTCAAAAGCCGAGGTTCAGAGGGTGGTAATGGATGATGCTGCCTCCAGTTGGCTGCCATTCACTAGTGGTGTTCCTCAGGGGTCTGTATCCAGTYCTATTTAAGACCTTTACTGATGATCTGGGTGATGAGACCAAGTCTACCATCAGCAAATTTGAAGATGACCCCAAGTTGAGTGCAGAATGTCAAGCTTTTGGAGAGGAGAAGAGCTCTGCAGAGGGATCTGGACAAGATGGATAGATGGACTGAATCCCACAATGGGTGGGTTTTAACAAGACCAAGTGCCAGGTCCTGCACTTTGTTCACAACAACTCCTTGCAGCACTGCAGGCTGGACACAGAATGGCTGGACAGCAGCTGGGCAGAAAGGGACCTGGGGGTATTTATTGGTGGCAGACTGAACACGAGCCAGCAGTGTGCCCACATGGCCAAGAAAGCCAATGGCATCCTGTGTGGAGAGAGAGAAGTTAGAACTGAGTTTTCAACCATGGGACATGGCCACAGAAATTCTGGGTAGCACAGAGAAACTCATCCCCACCTGACCATTGGAGAAGGACGTATGAAGATATAGTCAAAGTCCTGGAAAACAGACTTCCAGGTGAGTGAACAGGGCATGACATCTCCAAATAAGACTATCAAGAAAGCACTCTGCTGATCTGGCAGTTTGTGTTTGTACACAGGGTGAAAAAAGTCATGTAGCCTTTAGATATGTATAAAATCAGCCTGCTTGTAGCAATAAACATCTCAGTATTTTCCCTGACCTGAGTCTGAGCAATTAGTTGCCACTAATGTGCTCCCCCACTAGTGTGGGGCTTGAATAAGCGATAGTAGTGGACTGGTGGCAATGCCCAACTACACTCTACTGAGCCTGAAACAAAGCCTGTTGTGCAAATAGACCTCTCTTCGGGACAGGAGATAAGCAGCCAGGAACAATGGGGAGCGCAATGTCTCAGGAACAGAAAGGCATAATGAAATTGATTTGAAAGAAACATGACAGGAAACTTGATTCTATAGACTTGAAATGACTTTTGTTATGGGCCAAGGACTATGACTCAACATTGGCAAGTACTACTGTTTAAGATCCCCAGATGCAGGACCTTCTGGGAGTTACCTTAGGAACCAGGCCATGCAGGGCAATAAGATCCTGGCAGAATATTTGGGTCCTTGGCATGYAGTATATAAAGCACTAAAAGCTCATGTTGCCCTGGGGGATTCAAAAAAGGAGGACCAGCAAGACCACTGCAGCTGTTCCCTCGACCACCCATCAGGTAGAAATCCAGATAAAGATCTCTGGGCACCTTACCTGTTTGACCCTGCAAAGGAGCCCAACCTTTACCCTCCTGATCCGCATGGTAACTGGGCAATATGCAAACAGGCAAACGTGGCAAAAGGGGATGTCAAAATGTTATGAGTGTTTCCAGTTACTTATCATCCAAATCAAACCTCCACATATGAGGGTCTCCCATACAGGATCATAAAGGAGTTGCATCACTCCTCACAGGGTATTTCAAGCAGGTCATCCACAGAATATTTCTGAGCATCCATGGAATAAAAAAGTGGCAATGGGCCAGGTATCCTCCCTCAATGCTGCAAAGGAAGGCACTGTGCAAACAATGCCACTCCAAGTTTACTAAGGGGGTGAACCTTTGCCAGCTCGGTTGCTGGAGACCCAGGGAAACAGACAGTAGAGCATGGCTGGGGAGCTGCATGTGGACAATAAATCAATCCCCAGAACAACCATGTCAACAACTGTGACAGCCAGTGCCTTGCAGGCTTGAACATCAGGCAGCACCAGAGTGGACCTAACCCCCTCGGTCACAGTAACTTTTACTGATTACAGCGTACACTATATCCCATTGGGAGTTCACGGACCTCTCAGTTGGGGGTGCAGTGTTGTGCTGATTGGGCACTCAAAACCACAACAAAGCAAGGTCTGTTTGCTCCYCCTAGTGTCATAGACTCTGACTTTACAGGAGAAATCCAAATCATAGCCTGCACTCCCACATTGCCATGTCAAATTTCAGCAGGAGCACAAGTTGCCCAGCTTGTTTATTTTCACACCGATCCCCTTGGCCACCTCCCTCAACACAGGGGAGGAAGAGGATTTGGCTCCACAGGAGCTCCTCAGATCTTAGGAGCTCAACCCCTTTCAGGTTATGGACCAACAATAAAATGTGAACTCAAGTGTAATAATATGAAGATCTTCATTGTCAGCATTCTTGACAGTGGTGCCAGACTGAACTATGATTGCCTCTTCCATCTGGCCTCTGTCATGGCCTTTAACCCAAGCTGCAAGAGGTTTGTCAGGTGTAGGAGGTCTTTCTATTCCAAAACAAATTATTCATCTTGTAACTGTCACAAGGCCTGAAGGCCAAACTGCCTCAGTAAAACCTTATGAGTTACAACTCTCATAGTTACAGTTTCAGCATATGTAGCTGGTATTGTTCAGCACATTGACAATGCATATGTTAAGGAAGTTGCTAACCCTTKGCTTTTTGCCTTATTACTATGCCTGCATTTTTTGTTGCAGCATCACACTAAAGGATATTACATTCCGCATGTGCAGTCCCATACTGCTCCCCCTGGTACTGTTTCAGAAGGAAACAGACATGAAGACCAGCTAGCTGCAGCAGCTGCTGTGCCCAATATGTTCTCTCAGGCATGTCTGTCCCATGACTTTTATCACCAAAGTGCATCAACACTCAGAAAGCCATTTCACCTCACTCATAACAGGCATGACAAGTTGCCTAAGCCTGCACTAATTGTCAGCAGATGTTGCCCACGCCTTACTTGGGTGTCAATGTTCACGGCGCTGCAAGACTTAAAAATCTGGCAAACTGATGTGACCCATACTTTTGACTTTGGTCGACTCAAATATATTCATATCACAGTTGACATATTCCTCACCTGCCTTTTTGGCTCTGTTCACATTGGTAAAAATGCAAAAGAGAGAGAGGTAATTTTTGTCTACCTTTGCTGTTTTGGGAGTTCCCTCTACGGTGAAAACCAACAATGGCCCTGGATATATCTCCAAAGGCATGCAAGCATTTTTTCAGTTATAGAGGGTTCAACATCATACGCATATCCTGCACACCGCTACACATTAGGCCATTGCTGAACGTGCGCATGGCACCTTAAAATTGATGGTTTTGAAACAAAAAAAAAGAGGGGGTATTGGGATGGATTACACCCCTCATGAACAACTGCAAAAGGTCCTGTTTGTTCTGAATTTTTTTTTTAAATGGATCAGATGGTGGCCTGATGCCAATAGAACAACATTTTGGCCATGCCTGTAATAGCCCAGAAAAGGCTCAAGTACTCATTAAGAACCCCGGACTAAGAAACTCTACAGTTGTTGAAACTGGCCTAAAAGACATGGCAATAGTTGCAGTATGCCTTGTTAACTTGCACCTCTCTGTTCTATTGTCCATCACCCGGTATACACTGGCGGCAGCATTTTTTCTGGTTTCTTACTGAGCTGCCCTGAAAAAGATATAAGAATATGATGCTGACAGACAATTTTAATGGTGATTTTGCCCACCCAAGGTCTTTGTGGCATGAGAAAGAGTGTTTGGAACTTGGTTGGACTGAGTCACACAGTTTTTCCTTATCTTTATAACACTTGAGTGGTGTTCAAGAAGGTCTGAGCTGCAGTAAGAGCCTCAACATTTGCTGATTGGGTTCATATATCTGCTCTGCACTACAAAGACTATGACTCTGAAACTGCACRCTAGTTAGGAAAGGGACCTCAGTGAAATGAAGTGCAATAGAAGAGAATTACATGTGTTCAAGTACCAACCACAAACAGAGTAAACACTGAATGGCCATGGTATAACAGGAGATAACTGCAAAACATTGAACAGATGAACCTCCCTTTCACTGTCACCTTTGTCTCTATACTTCTGCCAATGCAAGGGCAAGCATAAATTCGATGAATGGAAAAAGTGAGGCAAATAATGAGTGGAAAAGATCTGCTCTATGGAATCAGACTAAAAGTAATTTTATTCCTTTTCCTGACTGCAGCAGTAACCAGGAGAAAGAAGAGAATGATCTATATATGTATCCTGTACACTTTGAGCTTGCCTTGCTATTTATTCTCCTCAAGAGTGTGGGCCAGCAACTTTCTGAGCCTCCAGCTGAATCCAAACAGCAATGGCTGATCATAATTCTGGAATCTATCTTCCTTCAATTTCTCTAGTCCATCTTCAAATGTATATCTGTTCTTTGTCTTGAGAACCACTGTGGAAACATATTGTACATGAAGTATTTTTTAAGCCCTCTATCCATTCCTGGCACTGTTGCCAGACTTCAGCTGTCTGTAGGTTCCTGTGCAAGTTCAGATGGTTTTGCTGTAGAGAAGTGGATGGAGATCATCATCTCCAGATCCCAGAACTTGTTATGCTCAGATAAGTGGAATGAATTCTCCTTTGGATGTACTGTCTCCCTACCTTAAGTTAAGAAGAAAACTTAGACAATACAATTCTTCATATTAGGTGAAATGAATTCCAGCAAATGTATGTTGGCTGATTCACACAGATCTGTGGCAGAGTGAAAAGCCAAGATTGGGTTTCTCATTTATCTACTTTAATGCCTGTTAAAAGTGTCAACAACAAGTTCACTTATCCTCTATTTCTAAATAATCCAAAGTCTTTACTTTTATTAGCCCAGCCATATCAAATTAAGTGTGTCTACAGTGTAAACAGGCTCTACTGTGGATAATCATAATCTCAGTATTAAGCAAAAACTGTTGTCATTATATATTCAAGATGCCAAGTCTTTTACTTACCACCATGCCTGTCTTGAAAAGGAGGTAATGGACTGTCTGTGTGACATCTGCAGCATGCATTAGGTTGTGATAAGGATTTTTGTGTTTACTGTAGCCAGCCTCCAGGGCTTCCACAAAAGACACCAAGGCAGAAATGGGAATCTAAGTAAAATAGCACAGGATTAAAGAACAAAAACCAAAACCCAAAACCCCCAGTTTTAATGGCTAGCATGCAGATAGGAGTATTTTGATAAGATATTCTCAAAAAGCCATCTATACTTCACAAATAAACAAAATACTACTGCATCTGAAAGAGATACTCAACAGAGAGGGTGAATTCAAGTTACTACTTCAAACAAGTCTTTCCATCCACAATTATATTACAGGTGAATGATTCCCACACATAAATGCACAGAAATAAGTATAATGTTAAATGTTGTCTGGAACACACATAAAGTATGAAAAGTATGAGCAAGCACTTGACTGACTGCCCATGGAGAAATATTTCTAAATAGATTGCAAGCAACTGTCTGTTACCTTACAATCCACTGGTATATATCTCTGCTTTACTATTCACATTCAAGATTTTCTGATGAAACACATCATATAGCAAATCTTAAATACACTAAGAGGACTTTCACTTATCAGACTTCTGGGTTTTCACAGCATAATCCAGTCTGTCCATCGTATGGGATTACCATGTTTTTCTTACTCCAAGAGTAACTGAAAATACCTGTGAAAATGCAATTCAGGGGATTTGTACAAAGGAGGCTATGCAGGTGGTAATGTAGGCAACCTGCACCATGGGTTCTCTGGTTGCATCTGCTCAAATATATTAAATGCTAGTGCTTCCATGCAAAAGATCACTGCTGTTCTTTTAGGTACATACAAGCAGAGGATGCAGTTCTGACCAGACATCTTGATGTCTCATCAGACATGGGCAGTTCCTGAAGAACTATGAAATCTGGACTTCTATAAACTCTTTCCAGTCAAAGTCAGTGGGACCCCCTGGGGAATAGAAATGTCAATAATGGAAGGGATGASAGAGTATCTGCCTAAGGAGAGTGGTCAAGAACCAGATGGCAATGCTTCCTGTTCAAAGTTGGAGGAAACCTCTGAACAATTACAAAATCATAGAATAGTTTGGAGTAGGAGGGGCTTTTAAAAGTCACCTAGTCAACCTGACACTGCAGTTAACATCTTCAACTAGATCAAGTTTCTCAGAGTCTAATCTGACCTTGAATGCTTCCAGGGATGGGGTACCTACCACCTCTCTGGGTAACCTTTTCCAGTGTTTCACCACACTCACCATAAGAAAATCTTCCTTATATCTAGTCTAAATCTATCCTCTTTTAGTTTAAAATCATTACCCCTTGTCCTACTGCAACAGGCCCAGCTAAAAAGTTAAGAAGTTTTTCACTATCTTTCTTAGAGATCCCCTTCAAGTACCAGAAGGCTGTAACAAACAGTCCCCAGAACCTTCCATTCTCCAGGCTCAACAACACTAACTCTCTCAGCCTTTTTTCACAGGAAAGGTGTTACAGCCCTCTGATTATTTTTGTGGCACTCCAAACTAGCTCCAACAGTTCCAGATTTTTCCTGTGCTGAGAACTCCAGACTTGGATGATCTGGATACACTACTCCAAATGGGGTCTTGTAAGAGCAGGGTAGGGAGCAAAATCACCCCCTTTGACCTGCTGGCACATCTAACTGTAATAGATTYGATTTTGCTTTCATATTCTCTTGTTTTCTTTCATACTTGCATGCTTGAGGGTCCTATGAAGCTCAGGAAAATGACACTATCATTCTCAGAAGGTCAAATGTAGTATTTCTCACRGATTTCATTTGGAACCCCACCTAGTTCATGGTGCCCTGTTGCATTTGAAAGTACTACTTAAATCACATCTAGTCTTGCTTATTAGGGAAAGTACAGTGTTTACAAACACTTCAAAGATCACTAAAATTACATTTTGAATTGAAAAAAGCAGGATGAGAAGGAAGTTGAACAAAATTCAAGACAGCCCTCTTCTAACTACTGACCTTGAAACGGTTGATCAGATCATAGCGTGTGAGAAGTTCATAGAAAATAAATTTCAGTGAATGATCCCCGCTGGCGTCATTTAGTGCAAATACATCAAAGGACCACTTGTCTATGTTCTGCAAGAGTAGGTAGAAAAGACAGTTAATATGGTCATCCCTTTTACCATGGTAATTCAATTTCTTCACTTTCTCTCACAAACTGAAAATTACAGTAGTGATAAAAGTGTATAGTTTCCATTTAACCAACACAGAATCATCAGTGTACTCATAGGATCAGTATACTTATGAGTATTGTATGACTTGTGTTTAAGAAGCTTCCATTAAGAGTATGTATGCTGTTAGTTTAATCTAAACATGGCAACTCTCTACACCAGAATTTAACTACCCAAGGATGAATCCTGAAAGATAAAAATCCTCATTTGCTATATTACCTGAGACATTGAGATGCCCCTATTTGGGCTCATATGATTACAAGTGCTAACAATTATATAAACCCAGCCTTTAAAACAGAAGGATAAACATCCAATGCCAGTTGGGAAAGTTCTAGTCAGCTGTGAATGCCATATTAGTGCTGCAGACTGATCAGTCAAGAGATCAAGGAGGGAAAGTTCACAGCTCATACAGCTAAATTTTAAGGTCTAACCTTCTTGAAATTTCAAATTTTAGGGAAGGCTGTAGGAGGTGACAGTACTCATCTAGCAAGAGATGAAGAGAAACATGAATTCTTTCTAAATGTTCAGTTACCTAGCTTTCTGTCTCTTCTTAACCTTGGGGACTTGTCAAATAACTCAGCAAGCAAATTTGGGGATAGACACTATTCTGCTCAACATTACTGGAAGGTCTGACATTTTTGTAGCCATGGACAAGCAGAAGTCTATACTGCAGACATTGCAAGTGACTACAGGTTCTGTGTCCATTACCTGTGTATTAGAAAATAATCCTGTAATGGCGAGAGCATAAGAAAAGGCTGAAAAATTAAATTCTAAAGCATGTAGCTCCTTTGGCATTAATTAATGCCAAGTTCTGTCTCCAGTATTAGACTGATGAAGAGCGGATCACCAAAGTGTACTCTGTAAATTAGCACATTTATTCAAACATGTCTGCATGAATGGTTTGTATAGTCACTGTTCAAATGAAAGACAAGGCTGATTGTCTTTTTTTTTGGCAACCAGTCTCATATCTTCACACCCATGTCATACTGCAATAGAAAATTTGGTACAAAATATGGAGAGAGATACTGTGCAATCAATTAAAAAAATGCCAAACTTCTCATCCACTGAAAAAGTGAGACAGATTTTACACCTAGGACTTGCACTGCTACATTTTGCATTTACTTTTTTGCAGAAGCTGAAGTATTTCATTGTGGTTTTTTTTTAAAACCAGCCTCAATTTGTCACAAAGCTGTGATTCCACAGCTTTGGGTTACTAAGTTCAGAGTCCTCTTGGCCACAGCAGCAAAAATGAGAATGAATAGTTAAAAAATAAGCTTGTTTTGACTTCATTTCATCTCAATCCTTGTCCTTACTAGCATAACTTTGAGGGAAATATTGATCATGGCAATCTAGAATGGCTGATGACATTGCATGCTTAAATCATCAGGTCATTTTTACAGTGCACACAAAGCAGTCATGTAGCTGTAAGGGTTTTTTTACTTTAGCTTGCTAGGCTGAAGCAAACAACAAAATACACCATTTTCAATGGAGGAGATGGGACTGAGAAATTTAAGATGAAATATTTTTAAGAGAGAAGATGTCACAGAGTCATAGAATATGCTGACTTGGACAGTATCCACAAGGATCATCAAGTTCAACTGTTAGTCCTTCACAGGACATCCCAGGAGGCATAGCATGTGCCCAAGAGCATTGTCCAAATGCGTCTTGAACACTGTCAGGTTAAGTGCTGTAATCACTTTCCTAGGGAGCCTGCTTTGACTTCTTCAAAGTAACTACCATTTCAACCAAATCCATTGCCAAATGTAAAAGCATCCAAGAACAGTCATGTTCTCAAAACAGTTTTGGAAAAAAACACATATTCTAGAGTGCACAGTGACCAAGTTGGTCTATTTCATGCTGCAAAAAAAATTAGTCAATATCTTTGTTTTAACTTACTCTAACATGATCACTTCCTTTTACAACTTAATCATTTGAAAACATAGAAAGAAGGGAGGGATTCTATAAGGCTTGAGTCAGCTGAGAGTAGATGATGAGTCTTTGACTGTCTTGTGGTTGCTGAGGAGCTCAGAAGAAGAGGTACCATTACAGATATGTTCCTCATAAGCTGGCTATGAAATGTAGTTGCAAAAGAAGAAAGAATTTAGATCCCATTTGCAGGAATGAAGCTAGCATTTGTCAACCTACAGATGAACAAAGATGTGAGTGGACACTTTGATTCTGTATATGAAAGGCATGTTTGATCATTCTTCTGGCAATTGCTCCATACCTTTTGATGAGTTCTACTACCCAAAAGGAAAAGGATATCCTAACTGTAAGTCTTTCCAGTGTGGAGAAATGCTGCAAGGCGTCTTAATGGTTTTACACTTAATATCCCTGTGTATTGCCCCACTGTATCACCTTTTTTCATCATTGAATGGCATGGTCTAACCACATGCAACATGTAATCTGCAAAGCTGCTGTGTAGGCAGCTGGTTGCTAGCTTCTGCTTGTAGTCTTGGTAATTCCTGCTTAAATCAAGAATCTTGCAATTGTCCCATGGTTTGAAACTTTGCTTCTTTCTCAGACTACTTCTGACTGATAGTTTTCCCTCTGAAACCTCAAAAGTCACAGAAGGGTCTGTATTCATAAGCTGATTGTCATTTTGAATACCTGAAGCTGAACAACGCAAGATAATTCCCTTCTCTCACAGCAACTGATTCTTTTCCTTCCTCATCTCTCTCCATCTGTGTTTTCTTTCTTTCTTATGAGATGTTGTGACTGATTCCTAAATCCTCCTTTTAATCATTGTAATCTGGAACAGAACTGTAACCTTCACAGCCTGAAAATGGCCACAGTCCGAACTCTATTCTTTCTTTCATTGAAATGATAATCCCTTAGGCCAGTTAAACGACTAATGTATGTTAACTAAACTAAATGTCAGAGAGAAGCAAAGGCCAAGTATTAAGACCCCCTTATCATGTCAAATATCACAGTATTATTTTGATGCTTTGTACAGACCCCCCTTCAATACCTTTTTATTGGGATTACCTTTAGCACTCCAATTACAGCTGTAGGGTAACTCAAGCCGACCATGTTTGAAGTACGCCTGTACATTCTACCAAGATGAAATAGACAAGGCAAAACAGAATTAAATGAAATAAAACAATCAACCAAACTCATAAAGCAACAGGCCATTACAGGAGACCTTATTTAGCCTAGAAAACCCTAACTGGAACATGGAAGTTTTCTCCTTCCATTTTGTTCCTAACTTACACAATATTCTCTGTACTATTCTTATATATCTTAATTTGAGACTACACCATCCCCAGCATCTCATAGCTTGGTTACCCAGCAGGACATGACAAAGAATTTGCTGCTACCAGGTCTTAATTAGATGGAAAGGCTACACTCAACTAAACAAGATGTTCTCTATTTTCCTGCAGAATTACTGCACATAACTCTATTGACCTTTCAGTTCCCCATGACCTTGCTGGCCCACATGCAAGCTAATTTTGAATGTACTTCGGTAAACATTTGTACTCAATTAATAAACTCCAATCTGATACAGTTGTTACTTTTGTCTGCATGTTTTCAGGATTAGTATGAAACCTTTTGGGTTTTTGSCATATGTGTGTATTTCAGGGAGTGRCAAGGAAAGAACAAGGCAATAACCAACATCTGTAACCATACTAAATGAAGTATGAATGTACCAGATCTTATACTTGATTATAAAGTATCTTTCAAACATATTATAAAATGTGTACAATTTTTCTAACTCATTTTCATGACACATTGTTTAACAGTATTTTCTGAATGCAGAAATGCTGTCATAGCTTTCCACAGGTCATCCCGTTTTGCCCTTAAGCATTGTAGGACTAAAAGGAGATGATGGAACATTCTCTTCTCCTATGGAAATGATCCTGTGCGAGGTCTTCTTCACAGCAATTTTTCTTTGTCATCTTTTTCACTCAGACCTGACAAAAGTCATTCTGCTTCAGAGACTTATATTTCCCCATATATACACCCATTCCCCAAATTACAGAATTTCTTATCGCTTCCTTTCCCCAGTCAGAAGTTTCATAGCATTCTCTTAAGAGACAATTGAGTCAGAATCCCTTTCTCTCAGCTCGGGTGAGTTACAACCCTCCTCCAGTACCATATTATATCTGAACACTTCCTTGTTTGGGTCACAGTGATCCAGGTCAGCTAGCAAAGAGCCTCCTGAGCAAGCTTTCTGCAATTCATTTACTTCCTTGTTGAACAAATCCCCCATTGAGAGTGAGGGTTCATTCATCCCCATTTGACAAGCARCCTGTCAAACCTTGGAGAAACCTGTTCCAAGGAGAAATGACAGGTTTAGTCTTATCACAATTTGATGCCACTCTTAACACATGTTCTGTAACTTTGATGCACAGATAAAAGTATAAGCTATAGTCATGATGAAGGAGGCTTCTGCATGTCTCTGTCACTTGTGGTCCACTGTCTGATACGCACAGCCTCCTGCACACAGGGCTGTTAGGCTGTCACTGCAATTCTGATGAACAGTGAAAGGTGCTCTGCTCTTCTATTCCTGACTTGAATTTTGCTGTTACAAAATTATCCTAGGGACTTGAGAGCTGGTGTCTTTCAGGCTAAAGACTGCTGAGTTTCATGTGTGCCAGCTCTCCTTTTGGCTTTAACCAAGGTCAGTGAAGATTGGTTAGTTGACAAGTAAAGGTAAGATTTTAAGTGAGTCCAAATTGAAATTAATAAATATTTTAAAGGGTTCAAAAAGTAAAATCAGTTTTTGCACCAGGTCATATGTAAACTGCAAGAGTGAAGGCTGAGAGGACTCAGTGGCTTTTTTGAAATCCTCCCTGAGCTCCAAAATTTTCATATCAGTTTTGCTCTATAATTCATTCCAGTAATATGGTAAAGGATTTTGTTCTGTATCTTAGCACTTCTTCATAAGAAATACTAGGAATACAGAAGTTAACAGAGACAAGGGAGTGTTTGGTCTGTCCAAATTTTAAATGCTCTCACTCCTGATCTAGGACTATGCAGAACTACATATTGTCTGTCGAAATTATACTAACTGTACTATTATATTTGCACTATAATAAGAACAGCGGAGTAGGTATTGTTTCAGTGTGCAACCTTTTACAAAATCCCAGGTTTTGTGGTGTTACCCAGATCTGTGCAGAAATATTAATAGACTTGTTCAATGAAGTGTTCTTCATTCAGTAGTCTTCTACTAGTTCACTGAGGTTTTCTGGCCTAAGGTATTCTCCTCCACATCCCATCATTGTGCCATCATATATTACAGGCACAATCTGCAGTACCTGGGCATTTTCTAGAACAAAGTAACTAACCTTTGATACCTTACCTTTCCACAAACATCCCAGCTTGCACTGCATGGACGATACTCCTGAACCGGGGTTTTTCTTCTGTCCTTTTGAGCATCATCCCCATTTGCCGTGTGAAGGTAGAAGCCAACCACTCACGGACCTCTGAGGGCACAGAGTCAGACTGGATATCRCTGAGTTCATCTTCAGTGTCCAGTAAACGCCTAGAAGGATGAGGAAACAGAAGGGTAAACAGGATTCCTTAGAGAGTACTACAACATTATTAACAAAAAAGCAGCTCAAATATATATTCTAATTAAAGCAGCAGTTAAAAGTCTTCGATTCATCAACCCTAATAAAATACAATGGTACAAATCTTCAATGGTTTGCTTATTCTCTTATGTACTTATATTTCTGATTGTAAGACTCAATAGTAGACTGAGAAATAAGAAGTATCAGTCTTCAGAAGCACAACTATATAATCATCTAATACTTCACATCTTCAGTTCATCAATATTTTTGAACTTTCTGCCTCTCAGAGTTAATTTATGGCCATTTCTAGGAATTTCTAGCTTCTGAGTTAGTAACATACAGTCCTCTCTTTTCCCATTCTGATCATCTGTGGTAACTCTGCAAGTGCATTTATCACTGGGCAAATGGCATGCAACCAAGAGGGGAACTCATCTGCAATGTCTTACCAGTCTGCTTCTGTCATGAGCAATCTTGTTTTTTAATTCAAAGACACCATGCAAGTGAAAAATTTAACATTATTCAAAACAAATAGATGAATACAAATTCAGAAACTGTCAGAAAAAGTTGGACACAATTACTATGAAAACATTTCTCCAAAAGAAAGTATATTACATTTATGATTGGTTTTTATCTCCTTCCCTGCCCCAGTAAACTTAAACACAAAGGACTGAAGATCTGTTCTACACAGAATAAAATATTCTAAATATTAGAACCATATTATCTGTGAGTAACTAATTTTCGCTCAAACAACTTTCACAATTGGCATGTAAATTACGACCAGTGCTAGATATGATAGTGCTGATGTCTGTAGTTAGCTCACCTAGTTTCATCAATGTATACTGACTCAAGAACAGTTGCCGCATATTCCAAATTCTTCTTTAGATCTGTGACTGAAGCTTCCCCTCTCTCTAACTGCTTTACCAAAGACCGCAATCTAAAGAAAAGGAAAACAAAAATCTGATTAGTATAAAGCAAAATAGGTTGAGACTGAGCATCAGATCCCAGCCTGAGACTTGGCATACATGCTTGACACGTGAAAACATTTGGAAGTCTACAGGTTTTTTTAAGCTATGTACAAGAAATCAATGAAAATTACTTTTCCAAGATCAGTTACAATGATGCCAGGCAAATATATGCAAGTCTGTGAATTGTCATTGAATACACAATCATATAATGATAGAGTATGCTGAGTTGGAAGGCACCTATCAGTCTCATTGAGTCCAACTTCTGGCCCTACACAGGACACCCCAAGAATCACACCATATCCCCGAGAATATTGCCCAAAGTCTTCTGAACTCAGATTCCTTGGGTCCTGCCACTAGTCATGAGAGTGAAGAGATCGGTATGTGTCCCTCCACTGGCCCTTGTGAGCTTGTTGAAGACTGCAATGAGGTCTCCTCTCAGTCTCCTCTTCTCCAGTCTGAACAGTTAATATGGTCTGTCACTCCTTATAAGGCTTCCCCTCCAGACCGTTCACCATACCTTTGGACACGTTCTAATAACATCATTTCTAATAGGCCAATATCTTTCTTATATTGTGGTGCCCAAAACTGCACACAGTACTCAAGGTGAAGCCATACCAGTGCAGGATAATCACTTCCATTAACCAGCTGACTGTCCCCAGCTCATAACTGAAATAAGTTAAAATAGAAATCACTTGAAATTTAACACTGGAGCTAAGAGAGAACAATTTCAGCCATAAGAAGAAAGTAACTTCTTGATCAGTATCTGTTAAAAAATGACTCCCATTTCTAATGACTGATGTACACATACACAAAACTGTATTATTTAGAAACACTATTGTAGAAATACTATACAATGTTGGGAAATGCTAAGATTTTCATGAGATCAACCAGTCACCCTTAGACTATCCCATCTATATTGAACAGAACTCACTACTTTCACATCCAAACAATAAGTATTCTTCATATGCCTTCTTGTTTCTTCATTCTGTGTATAGGGAATCTGCAGATATGAGACTCTGAAACATTAGACACAAGTCACAGGAGTCAATGTTACAGAAAGAACATGACCTTTGGCCCTTCCTTGTTGGAGCTGAAGGAAAGTCTTAAGCTTTTCCACTTCTGTTAAAGCTTGCAGACCGGAAAGGGTTCAAGCCGTAGGTCATGTGACCAGGGAACAGCCTGTAGGACTGACATGAGACCGCCCCTTGCATACAGCTGTAATTGGTTGGACACTGCATGGATCAAAAAATAGCATGGACACTGCCTGATCAAAAATGTAATTGGATAGGAAAGTTCGTGAGTGGCAGTGCTGCACGGGCAAAGAGCCAATATGTGTTTAGGCCACCTAAGTCTAGAATATAAAAAGGCACAGTTTTTTGAAAACGAAGTATTTTCTTCAAACCAGCAAGAAGAGAGTCTGTGTGCCCTGTTCCCAAGTTGTTACACTTCCTGACTTTTATTTAATGGATATAAGTATCTGGCAACTTTATGCTGCAACTCATTCAAAACTCATGTTCAATAACAGCACAGCAAATAACGGTTTCTTCGTAGCATCACCATTTTTCATCAAATTAGATCATGCAAAATATTATGTGCATCAATCATTTAGAAAAACAGAAGTATAGTTGTTTATCACACCATCAGCCACTCTCATGTGAAAAAAAATTACACTGCTTTTGTCTTACTATCCGTTATCTATAACAATTGCTGATTTATTGAGTCACAGCAAGTGCCCCCATTAATTGTACTAAATAAGAATCTTGTCATAGTTTGCTTTTAATGTATTCCATGTATCTGGGAATTTTAAAATAATCCTAAATGTACAGAAGGGAATGCCAGCAAGATTACTAGCTGTAAAATTCTGTTTCAAGGCGGCTGAAATAATTTTAAAATTCTATCAAATTCACCTGTGGCAATTAGCAACATGGTTTAGCCAAAGTTTGGCAGTGCTGGGTTTATGGTTGAATTAAATTATCTTAGCAGTCAATTCTAAAATCAACTCATTTGTAATAACATTCTTTTGATAGCCAGTTCAAATAGTTTAAAAAAAATTTAAAAAGTAAAATCAATCACAAACTTCCAAAATTAGCAAAGTAATAATCAGAGGTAGACCTGACTGCATAAAAGCTGCCTTCAGTATGCACACACAAAAAATACAAATAGTTGCTCTTAGAGTCTGGAAGATAAACATCTAAAAGACAAAACCCTGCCTTCTGATCATCATGACCCTAATTATTGGTAAGAAATTCTTAATTAAATTTGAGAATTAGAAGTTCGCTGCACAATGAACCATATCAAAGAATTCCTACACAGAAATAGACCTGACATTCCACTTTCATATGCACACCTGATAAAATTGATATTCTGGAGTCATATCAGAGAGTATGTGCAGACTATCTAAGCAGAAAGCGCATTAATCTGTCAAATGCCTTGCAACAGAATTTGCCTGTTGGGGTGTAAAAAAATGTAAAGCAAATACACAGGCCACTTAACACTGTCCAAAAATATCTAGAACAGACTACATACAGTTGTGTCATGGAATGCACATGTGTAGTAGATCCAGTCAGCTGGATGGAGAGATGTATCCACAGTTTGCATAGCAAATCCCTGAAATCCATTCAAACAGAGGGTTGGTAGGAGGGATACAGCATACACAGGAAGTAATTCAGAAGTTCACCATCTCTTTTTACAACAGTCAGCAGGTATTATTCATTCCACAGTCTGCCACATCTTTATCTAAGAATGTAGGTACTACTGACAAAAAGACACAATCTAGAAAGCCAGCTCAGGTAGTAATCCCCAAACCAAAACTGAAAACAGAGTAACTGGTAGCCTGTGACCCAATGGATTTTTATTAGGCTGAATAGCTATCTTCTGTCACCACTTTTGAACACAAAAAAAAAGCAAGTCACAACATTCAGAGGAAATAAAAACCATACTGGTACACTGGCATTTTTCATCCGAAAAAGCAATATGCAATTTCCCAAGTAACTGTTTTGCCTTCTTCATATTTCCTGAAATAGCCATCTTCCTCCGAATAAAAATACAAAGATTAACAATTTTAAGTAATCAATGTTTTTAATGTTATTAGAATCATGAAATGCAACAATGACAAGTTCAGTAGCTTTGACAGTATGGTAAACAGCTTGTTTCAAGTCACCTTGGGTTAGGTAAACTTTTGAAAATATCAGTTAACTGGGAGTGAAATCTTATACAGTTTATATTTTCACTTCATATTTATGAATTCTTTCATGCTTATTAAAGGAAGAGAAGCATTTTGTCTGAAACTTTTGCTAACTTTGGCTTACTGAATGATTTGGATTTTTAGTAAAACAAGCAGGCACTTCTTCAGCACCAAGTCCTGCAAATTATCTTTGTCTCCCTCTCCTGTTACTGAAAACTCTAAAGGATGTGCACTCTTCCAATTTGCAAACAGCCCCCTCATTCTCACTCATTCTCAGATTCTGAACTTTGGGGACTGAATCAGAAAACATAAGCAGTTAAAAGGATTAGTCATGTTTTGTATTTTATTCAAATCAACCACTTCACCTAGCACTAATCTTCTATAGAAATCAAGTACACAAATGGTCATGGAACTTACTGGAGATGGATATCCATGCTAAAGCACCTGCCTGTCATACAGTTCCTCAGGAAAGTGTGGACTGCCTCTTTCATGGGCCTTCCTTCCCCCCGACTAGTGAGAGAAATGAGCCAGAAGATTACCTTAGGTTGTCATTGTGGTTTCAGACAGAGAGGATGAGATGAGATGACTCATTCCACTGCATAAATGTGAGAGTTGAACAAGGATAAATTTCAGATGTGGAGAGAAAGAAAAGCTGCTATACTCTGTTTTTGCAACCAGCAATTATCTACTAGGTATTTCCCAAATATAAAAGAGAGCCTTCTTTTTGGCGGACTACTTTTTCAGATGTTAGTGTGAGTTAGTTTTTTGGGGAAGCTGTACAAACACAATACAATCACTGAATTTGTTGGCAATTATTTCCAAGGATAACAAATGAAATCTTCCATAATTAAGCCTTTTAAAATCACTGCTGCCTTTTATAAAAAAAAATACTCCATTATATATCAGACACAAATCTCAGCGGACACTCCTACTGTGGGACTGCATAGGGTCAAAGAACAACAGGTACTGATCACTACCACAACAGTGCATCATGTACAGTACTGCACAAACCAGGCATCTTTGACCCCCATCCCTGAGATGATTTGTGAACTGGGGAGCCAGGGAGTGGTCAGCAAGACTCCCTAATCCTCTAATGGTCAGTGAGTAAGTCCAATAGAGGGCAGAGGCTGACAGTGACCTAATCAAGGCCTGAACGAAGTCAAACCATGACTGAGCGCTGCTGGAATGGACATGCTGGAACTTCAGTATGAACTGGAGTCCAGGGCAGCAAAGTGGTGCCACCAGTGATATTTTGCTAATGCATTTTCCTCCATTTATTTAGCAAGACAATTTGCTTTATTCTGGAGGGATGCCAAATACACCTGGATTCAGCTGTCCGAAGGGTGGCAACATACCCTGACTATTTGCTATGGACTGATCCAGACTGCACTGAAAAAAGGGTGAGGCCCCAGAACATTGCAGTATCTTGATAACATCATCAGCAGAGCAAGGGGCAACACAGCAAGGAAGTTTTTGAGAAAGGGGAGAAGATAACTCACATCCTCCTGAAGGCTAGTTTTGCCATTGAGCAAAGTCAAGGGACATGCCCAAGAACATCAGTTTTTAGGGGTAAAATGGCAAGATGGATATAGTCAGATTCCAATGGATGTGGTCAACAAAATTGCAGCTATGTCATCACCAACCTACTAAAAGTAAAGGCTACCTTTCTKCAGTGTTGTGGGTTTTTGAAGAATGCATATTCCGGATTCCAGTTATTGCATATTCCAGTCAGATCATGAGCCCTATCAAGTAACTCAAAAGAAAAAATATTTCAGATAGGGTTCT